CATAGATTGGATAAATTACATCTATTATAATCAGCAGTGGTTTATTAATTACACCAGGGATGCTGTCAAAGGGATAGCAGAACAATTGGGGCCCACTAGCCAGATGGCCTGGGAAAACAGAATGGCCCTAGGTATATTAGCCGAAAAAGGAGGTGTTTGTGTTATGATTAAAACTCAGTGTTGTACCTTTATCCCAAACAAGACTGCCCCAACTGGGAGCATAACAAGGGCCTTACAAAGACTTACCGCTTTATCCAGTGAACTAGCTAAAATTCTGGAGTCAATAACCCTTTCTCAGGGTGGCTAGTAAGGTGGTTCGGTAAATGGAAAGAAATCATAGCCTCAATTCTTACTTCTCTTGCAGCCGTAATAGGTGTACTCATTCTTGTTGGGTGTTGTGTCATACTATGCATCCGTGTGCTAGTGCAAAGACTTATAGAAGCAGCATTTACTAAAACCTCCCTTACCTCTCTCCTCCACTTTATTCACATCAGCTTTTTCTTTTAGAGGATCAAGTTGAGCAGCAAAGCCAAGACATGTTAAAAAAAAAGTTTGAAGAGGAAGTACTATGAAAATTGAAAGGGGGGAAATTGTAGGATATAATAAATTCCTCTTCAAAGGTTTTAGCCTGTAAATTGTTAAGTACAATGAGTTCTGAGATCCTCTCCAAAGAACTAATGTATCACTGTGTTCAGCTCCCCTGTTCTTTGTTCTTCATTTTAAAGTAACTTCCTCATTCTTTATGTCTTCTTGCCCCTAGTTTCAGTAAACAATCCCCTTCTAGCTTCTATCATCTGCTCTGACCTGAGTCACCTTCAGTCACCTGGTCCGGAACCGTCTTTCCCGTCAAAACTGCTCACCCCACCACTCTGGCTTATACCCCTGCCCTCTTTAAAATAGCCAATCAGAATTAGCTTAGACTGTGTGGTCCAACCCTAGCCAATAAGGGACAGCAGTAGGGGCTACCTGCATCAGGGATAAGAACCCCTTCCCCTCCCTTGTTCAGGTGTGCTCTCGCCATTGCTCCATCCATGAGATGCACCCTTCTGTAGAAGTAAAATTGCCTTGCTGAGAAAATTTATGTTTGTTTGAGTGCTATTTCTTTTGCAGCACCAAAAATGTATTTCTAACAATAATACTTGGGATAGTTTGAATGAGGCTGAAACTTCTAAATTAAGGGTTTCTCCCTAACCAGGATGTTGGATTGCATACAGATTACAGGTAAACCAGAATTTGGATCCTGTCATCCCACCCTGCCTTTTTCAAAACTTTTTTTAAAAATGTATCTCTGATAGGATCGAACTCATAATATCAAATCCTGTTACACACATCTTGCCTACCCAGTTCCTGAAGGGTGACTGAGCCATTTGTTCCAATAAGGATATGAGATGCTGCAGCAAATAATTTACTGATGCCTAAATATGTGACACCTGCTGCTTTCTCCTTAATTTTTTTTTTTTTTTGGGTGGAGTCTCACTCTGCAGCCCAGGCTAGAGTGCAGTGGCATGATCTCAGCTCACTGCAGCCTCTGCCTCCTGGGTTCAAGCAATTCTCCCGCCTCAGCCTTCCAAGTAGCTGGGAGTACAGGCATGTACCACCACACTCAGCTAATTTTTGTGTTTTTAGTAGAGATGGGGTTTCACCATGTTGGCCAGGCTGGTCTCGAACTCCTGACCTCAAGTGAACTGCCCACCTTGGTCTCCCAAAGTGCTGGGATTACAGCTGTGAGCAGCCACGCCTGGCCCCATGTTTGTTTTTTTTAAAAAGTTGATTACCACCCACTAAATTAATTTTGCAAACCCACTGATGTCCACATCCTGCAGTTTGAAAACCACTGCAATAAATATTGGTAACAGGTAGAAGTTTTACCCTTAGCCCAGGCTGCCAGTCCTGGCTTCCTTCCCTTTGCCTCACAGCTGTGCCCTGAGCCTGCTTTTGACTAAGCCAGACCCAAGCCTGTTCAGCTCTAGCTGGACAGAGGAGCCACCATGTAGCTGAGAGCCCCTTTGTAGGGTGCGGAGAGCTCAGCCTTCTCTATGTGTCTCACAGGCTTTCCCTGCATGAGTCATCAGGCAGCAATGACATGGATTCTGTCTCTACTACAACCCACAGCCCAACTATGAGAAAGGCATTATTCTTCCCACTGCTCAGATGAGAAACCTGAGGCCAATCAGGGTGAAGTGACTATGGGAAAAGGACAAACAGGACTGGTCCTCCTTTGAAATTCAGAATGTGAATTAAGCAGCAAAATTGGCTCTCTAGAAAATACTGTGGAAGTGCTGAATAGGACTGATAAGTAGCTGTGGAAGAGAAAGTGCTAGAGACAGAAAAGCAGATACAAAAATTGGCAGGGCGGCCGGGTGCGGTGGCTCATGACTGTTATCCCAGCACTTTGGGAAGCCGAGGCGAGCTATCACTTAAGGTCAGGAGTTCGAGACCAGCCTGGCCAACATGGTAAAACCCAGTCTGTACCAAAAATATAAAAAATTTGCCGGGTGTGGTGGTGCTCACCTGTAATCCCAACTACTTGGGGGGCTGAGGCAGGAGAATCGCTTGAACCCAGGACGTGGAGGTTGCAGTGAGCCAAGATCATGCCACTGCACTCCAGCCTGGCTACAGAGCAAGACTCCGTCTCTCAAAAAAAAAAAAAAAAAAAGAGGCCGGGCGAGGTGGCTCAGGCCTGTAATCCCAGCACTTTGGGAGGCTGAGGTGGGCAGATGACGAGGTCAATAGATGGAGACCATCCTGGCCAACATGGTGAAACTCCTTAGCTGGGCGTGGTGAGGCATGCCTGTAGTCCCAGCTACTCGGGAGGCTTAGGGAGAAGAATCCCCTGAACCCAGGAGGCAGAGGTTGCAGTGAGCCGAGATCGCGCCACTGCACTCCAGCCTGGGCAACAAGAGCGAGACTCTGTCTCAAAAAAAGAAAAAAAGTATTGATCAACAATTGAGAAACTGCCTGTTCTTTTCCTTTAAAAACGCGCGGCCGGGCGCGGTGGCTCAAGCCTGTAATCCCAGCACTTTGGGAGGCCGAGACGGGCGGATCACGAGGTCAGGAGATCGAGACCATCCTGGCTAACACAGTGAAACCCCGTCTCTACTAAAAATACAAAAACTTAGCCGGGCGAGGTGGCAGGCGCCTGTAGTCCCAGCTACTCGGGAGGCTGAGGCAGGAGAATGGCGTGAACCCGGGAGGCGGAGCTTGCAGTGAGCTGAGATCCGGCCACTGCACTCCAGCCTGGGTGACAGAGCGAGACTCCGTCTCAAAAAAAAAAAAAAAAAAAAAAGCCAGGCGCGGTGGCTCACGCCTATAATCCCAGCACTTTGGGAGGCTGAGACGGGTGGATCACGAGGTCAGGAGATCGAGACCATCCTGGCTAACACGGTGAAACCCCGTCTCTACTAAAAATACAAAAAATAGCCGGGCGTGGTGGCGGCTGAGTCCAGTCGGGAGGCTGAGGCAGGGGGGGGGGGGCGGAGTTGCGTGGCTGAGACCGGATGCCTAGCTGGGTGAGAGCGAGACTCGTAAGCCGGCGCGGTGGCTAGCCATACAGCATTTGGAGGTTGGGGTGGATCACGGGTCAGGAGATCGAGACATCCTGGCTAACACGTGAAACCGTTCTACTAAAAAATAAAAAAGCCGGGCGTGGTGGCGGCGCCTGTAGCCCAGCTACTCGGGAGCTGAGGCGGGAATGGCGGGAACCGGGGGCGGAGCTTGCGTGAGCTGAGATCGGCCACTGCCCCAGCCTGGGTGACAGAGCGAACTCCGTCTCAAAAAAAAAAAAAAAAAAGCCAGCGCGGTGGCTCACGCCTAATCCCAGCACTTTGGGGGTTGAGACGGGTGGATCACGGGTCAGGAGATCGAGACATTGGTAACCGTGAAACCCGTCTCATAAAAAATACAAAAAACTAGCCGGGCGTGGTGGCGGCGCCTGTAGTCCCAGCTACTCGGGAGGCTGAGGCAGGAGAATGGCGGGAACCCGGGAGGCGGAGCTTGCAGTGAGCTGAGATCCGGCCACCGCACTCCAGCCTGGGCGGCAGAGCAAGACTCCGTCTCAAAAAAAAACAAAAACAAAAAAAACAAAAAAAAAAACGCTCTTTCAGCTGCTGCTAATCCAAGTGTATATTCAGGACAACTTGAATCTCTGCTCCAAGTTGCAGTCTTCGAACTTGACCCAAATAAACTCCCTGCTTAAATTAAGCTCGCCTCAGTTTTTGTTTTCCTTTAGGTGGACACAGACGAGGGCCATTTAAGGATGACCCCTAAACCACGGGTGAGTTCTTTTACATATAAAGGGCACCATGCCTTTGAAGAGCTTAGCTTTACTTATTAAATGAAGAAACAGAACCTGTCAACATCTGTAGGAAGTGGACGGCGCCAGTTATAAACAGGAGGCTAAGCAAAGTGACTCACGCCTGTAATCCCAGCACTTTGGGAAGCTGAAGCGGGCGGATCACTTGAGCTCAGGAGTTCCAGACCAGCCTGGCCAACATGGCGAAACTCTATCTCTATTAAAAATACAAAAATTAGCCCGGCGTGATGGCGCGCGCCTGTAATCCCAGCTACCTGGGAGGCTGAGGCAGGAGAATCGTTTGAACCCGGGAGTTGGATGTTGCAGTGAGCCGAGATCGCGCCACTGCAACTCCAGCCTGCGAGACAGAGCGAGACTCTGTCATTAACCAATAAATAAATATAATTAAAATCAAGCAACAGTAGTTGACAAAATCAAAAACCACGGGGACCTCTCAACTGCCTTTTCTCCCTTAAGCACCCTTCATTGCTACCCCGGCGCCATCACCTCCTCTTCCGGTCCCTCCTCTAGGGCCCGCCCACCCCTTCCGGTTCCGCCCCGCGCCAGCCTTCGTCTCGACCAGGGCCTGCCCGCCTCTTCCAATCCCTCCCCCGACGGCCTGCCCATTGCTTCCGGTCCCTAGCTGAGGCCCCGCCCTTTCAGTTGTGCCTCCTCCCGCCATTCCCATTGGCGGAAAATCCCAGACGCTCCTCAAATTAGAGAGGGACAGGTCGGGGGCTGTGGCTCACGCCGGTAATCCCAACACTTTGGGAGGCCGAGGCGGGCGAATCACGAAGTCAAGAGATGGAGACCATCCTGGCCAATATGGTGAAACCCCGCCTCTACTAAAAATACAAAAATTAGCTGTGCGAGGTGGCGGGCGCCTCTAGTCCCGGCTACTCGGGAGGCCGAGGCAGGAGAATCGCTTGAACTCGGGAGGCGGAGGTTGCAGTGAGCCGAATTCGCGCCACTGCACCCTAGCCTGGCGACAGAGCGAGACTCCGTCTCAAAAAAAAATATTCGAGAGGGATGGTGTTCCGCCTGCCTGTCCCCGGAAGTGACGTTAATGTCCGCCTCCCTGAGGAAGTGACGACAGGAGTGCCCTTGACAGGCAGGGAGGGCTAAGCTGTGCATCCCTCCGCTCGCGTTGCAGGGAGGTAGGAGCTCAGTGGGGCTGGCTTGAGGTGGTGTCGTGATAGGCATGCCGCGAGCGCGTTCCTGCGCAGGCTGGCGGCCGGACGGGTGGGGGGGACCTAGCTCGCCGGAGAGCCGGGGTCCCTGGTGGCGTCCGATTTTTCCCAGTTCCCTCCATTCATGTCCCTTCTTTATTAGTTCCCTCCAGTACATGTCTCTTCGTTTTTGGTTCCTACCATACTCTTAGATCCTCCTTCAATTGTTGCGTTTCATCTTTTCAGACGACCCTGGGTTCCAGTGTTGGCTGTCAGTAGTGGGGTTACTTTGGGCATGTCACTTAACTTACTTGAGCCTCGGATGCCTTTCCTTATTTGCAATGTGGGCAGTACAATAGCAACTTCCTCAAAGTTGCTGTAGGAAGATCAAGAATATGTGTAAGGTACTTGGTCCTTACATAAATTATTAAATGTTGGTTTCTCCCTCCCGTTCTTCTGTTATAATCTAAATCCCGATTTCTTTTTGGTTGTGAAGCCAGTTTTCCTGTCCTTCTGGTTTGCCTAGCTATTCCTTTCCTTTGTTTCTCAGCTTCCTCACTTCTACGCTACAAATCTTACATATTATTTCCTTGCATTTTGCTTCCCACTCTGCCTCTTCTTGAGCCCCGACTAATCCCCAAATCTCTTTATTTTTCTAGTGTGTCAGCTTCCTTTTGTGTGCCCCAATTCTTCTGCCTCTTCCCTCACAGATGGCTCAGCGACTTCTCCTAAGGAGGTTCCTGGCCTCCGTCATCTCCAGGAATCCTTCTCAGGGTCGGTGGCCACCCCTCACTTCCAGAGCCCTGCAGACCCCACAATGCAGTCCTGGTGGCCTGACTGTAACACTCAACCCAGCCCGGACAATATACACCACCAGGATCTCCTTGACGACCTTTAATATCCAGGATGGACCTGACTTTCAAGACCGAGTGGTCAACAGTGAGACGCCAGTGGTTGTGGATTTCCACGCACAGTGAGTATTGGGGGTCCACGGAAGACTAGGGTCCTACTTGTTCAAGTATTTGTTGAATGCCTGCTATGTCCCAGGACCATGTTCTATGCTGCTCATATGTAGACTCAGTATACAGACTGGTCAGGCCTAGTCCCTGCCCTCAAGGGGAGTACAGTCTAGTAGAAGACAGATGAGTGAACAGTCTGCAAGCTGACTGCAGTTAGTGCTGGGAAACACATGTTCTGTTTCTTAATGTCCAGAAAGCTCAGCGTCATCTTCAACATGGACCAGAGTTGGAAAAATATGACTGTCACCTTGCTTTTGGTGTATATCAGTTCCTGGCCCTGCAGATGAGTTTATTTTAATACCTTGCCGTGAAAACTGCAAGAAGGGCTGGCAAAAAGTTATCAGTGTCGGCCGGGCACAGTGGCTCACACCTGTAGTGAGAGGCCGAGGCACACCTTTGAGAGGCTGAGGCAGGCAGATCACCTGAGGTCAGGAGTTTGAGACCAGCCTGGCCAACATGGTGAAACACCATCTCTACATCCAGGTGTGGTGGTGCTCACCTGTAATCCCAGCTACTCGGGAGGCTGAGGCAGGAAAATCACTTGAACCTAGGAGGCGGAGGTTGCAGTGAGCCAAGATCATGCCATTGCACTCCAGCCTGGGCAAAAAGAGTGAAACTCCATCTCAAAAAAAAAAAAGTTAGTGTCATTACCATGGTGTCCAAGCATACAGGGCATAGGAAGGAGTGTCCTTTCAGTGCTGTCTTGAGTTTGCTTTAGAGATATTTAAGTCCCTCTGGCTTTCTGATTTTTAGCCTGGCCTTTTTTGTTTCTAGACCTTTGGGGCCTGGCTAGAGACCCAGCTACACAAAAACTGTACAAAGCCCTCTGAATGTGGCATCCTGGGAGAAACCAGTGTAGCAGAAGTTAAAAATTCAGGGGCCTTCAGGTCGGGCACAGTGGCTCACACCTGTAATCCCAGCACTTTCAGGGGCCAAGGCGGGTGGATTACCTGAAGTCAGGAGTTCGAGACCTGCCTGGCCAACGTGGTGAAACCCCCGTCTCTATTAAAAATACAAAAATTAGGTGGGCCTGGTGGCGGCCACCTGTAATCCCAGCTACCCAAGAGGCTGAGGCAGGAGAATCACTTGAACCTGGGAGGTGGAGGTTGCAGTGAGCTGAGATTGCGCCATTGCACTCTAGCCTGGGTGACAGAGGGAAACTCCATCTCAAAAAAAAAAAGAAAGAAAAAGAAATTGAAGGGCCTTCTGGTCAGTATCTGACAGATTGTTCTGCCATCTTTCCAGTTGTTTCTCTGACTTACCCTGTGGCCTTGGGCAGGCCGCTTGATCTCTTTGTGCTCCCTTCTTCACTTGTAATAGGAGATAAGGTCTTGCATGCTGGGTTTTTAGGTGTTATGAGTTGTTTTTGTTTTTCTTCTTTTAGAGACAAGGTCTCACTCCGTCACCCAGGCTAGAATGTAGAGTGCAATGGTGTGATCACGACTCACTGCAGTTTCTACCTCCTGATCTCAAGCAGTCCTCCCACCTTGGCCTCCCAAAGTGCTGGGATTACAGGCGTGAACCACTGCACCAGGCCTGAGGGGTTTTTTTTCTTTTTTTTTGTTTTTGAGACAGAGTCTCATTCTGTCACCCAGGCTGGACTGCAGTGGCTTGATCAGCTCACTGCAACCTCTGCCTCCCAAGTTAAGACGATTCTCCTGCCTCAGCTTCCCAAGTCACTGGGACTGCTGGTGCCTGCCACCACATCCAGATAATTTTTTTGTGTTTTTGGGAGAGACGGGGTTTCGTCATATTGGCCAGGGGTCTCTTGAACTCTGACTGCAGGTGACCCCCACCCCCCACCACCTCGGCCTCCCAAAGTGCTGGGATTACAGGTGTGAGCCATTACTCCTGGCCTATTTTCAGCATTTAAAATCCTCAGGCCTGACCAGGCACGGTGGCTCAAGCCTGTAATCCCAGCACTTTGGGAGGTCAAGACAGGTGGATCATGAGGTCAGGAGATCGAGACCATCTTGGCTAACACGGTGAAACCCCGTCTCTACTAAAAATACAAAAAAACTAGCCAGGCGAGGTTGGCGGGGGCCTGTAGTCCCAGCTACTTGGGAGGCTGAGGCAGGAGAATGGCGTAAACCCGGGAGGCGGAGCTTGCAGTAAGCCGAGATCCGGCCACTGCACTCCAGCCTGGGCGACAGAGCGAGACTCTGTCTCAAAAAAAATAAATAAATAAAAAATAAAAATAAATAAAACCCTCAGGCCTGACTGGATGTAGTATGTACCACCACACCTACTGCTCAGGAGGCTGAGGCAGGAGAATTACTTGAACCCAGGAGGCAGAGCTTGCAGTGAACCAAGATCGTGCCATTGCACTCCAGCCTGGGCAAAAGAGTGAGACTCCATCTCAAAAATAGATAAATAAGTGCTGAGAATAAAATAGGAGTTGTCAGCCAGGGGTTTGTGAAGGGTGGAACTGTTTTGGCCTGCTGGTGTAGTGAGCATTCCAGAGAGGGCTTCCGAAATGCACGATAAATGGGGTAGTGCCTCGTTTTGTTTGGTAAGGAAGTGGGATGTGAGTTGTTCATTCTTTGCCAGGCACTGTCCTTGGTGCCACATACATAGAGATGACAGCACCAGGCCTGTCCTGGATGAGCTTCCCCAGCAAGAGGGGAACCTGTGATCAGGGCAGTGATAGTGGTCAACTCAGGGGCTGTGGGATCACAGAGTAGCCTGTGGGTGAAAGAAAACGCTTTCTTTTTTTTTTTTGAGACAGAATCTCTGTCGCCCAGGCTGGAGTGCAGTGGCATGATCTCTCAGCTCACTTCAACCTCCGCCTCCCAGGTTCAAGCGATTCTCCTGCCTCAGCCTTCCTAGTAGCTGGGATTACAGGTGCCCACCACCACTCCTGACTAATTTTTGTATTTTTAGTAGAGACAAGGTTTTACAATGTTGTTGGCCAGGCTGGTCTCGAACTCCTGACCTCAGGTGATCCGCCTGCCTCGGCCTCCCAAAGTGCTGGAATTATAAGCGTGGGTCACCGCACCCGGCTAAAGAAAACACTTTCAACACAGCTTTGGGTTATGATCGATCCCGGCTGTGCTTCTCTAATCTTGCACCGGTTTCTTAACTCATATGGGCTTCAGTTTCTTTGGAAGGTGCGTTCTCTTTGCAGAGTTGAGGGATGTGTTTGGTAAGAGCAGAAAAAGTGCTTGTCCAGGGACTGGCGCGTTGTAGACACTCCTGGCCATTGGTTCCCCTCCTTTTAGTTCTGAGTCCACATGGTGTTTGCAATAACCCCGCAGCTTCCAACGCATGTTTACCCACATTGCCTTAGTTGATCTCTCCTAATGGCTTTGAGAGCCATAATCTCTCTTTTTCAGATGAAGAAACTAGGACCCCAGAATAATCGGCTGGTTGGTGAGGAGCCTCTGTTTGAACCTTTTAACTTCCAATCCCATATTCTTTTTTTTTTTTTGGGACGGAGTCTCGCTCTGTCGCCCAGGCTGGAGTGCAGTGGCCGGATCTCAGCTCACTGCAAGCTCCGCCTCCTGGGTTTACGCCATTCTCCTGCCTCAGCCTCCCGAGTAGCTGGGACTACATTAGCTGGGACTGCAGGCGCCCGCCACCTCGCTCGGCTAGTTTTTTGTATTTTTTAGTAGAGACGGGGTTTCACCATGTTAGCCAGGATGGTCTCGATCTCCTGACCTCGTGATCCACCCGCGTCGGCCTCCCAAAGTGCTGGGATTACAGGCTTGAGCCACCGTGCCCGGCCCCAATCCCATATTCTTTTATATGACAGTATATTTATCTGAAATATACTGAAATAAGTCACTTTTATTCTAAGAGTCTTCTGATGAGGCCTGTGTTTTAGAAGTCTGGGATCTGTGAAGATTTCCCACGTGCAGAATCTCCTGGCATTACCATTTGGTGTGTTAATTTTTTTTTTTTTTTTTTTTTTTTGAGACGGTGTCTTGCTCTGTCGCCCAGGCTAGAGTGCAGTGGCGTGATCTTGGCTCACTGCAAGCTCCGCCTCCCGGGTTCACGTCATTCTCCTGCCTTAGCCTCCCGAGTAGCTGGGACTACAGGTGCCCGCCACCGCGCCCGGCTCATTTTTTGTATTTTTAGTAGAGACGGGGTTTCACCATGTCGGCCAGGATGGTCTCGATCTCCTGACCACATGATCCACCTGCCTGGACCTCCCAAAGTGCTGGGATTACAGGCGTGAGCCACTGTGCCCGGCCTGTTATTTTTTAAACGTGGTAGACAGAGATAATAAGGGCAAAAGATTCCTTGGAAAGATGCAGGTCTGGGAAGCCAGTAGGGGATGCTGAGCGGTCTTTTGACTGACTGGATGCTTCCTTTCTCGCCTTTTGAGGTGGTGTGGGCCCTGCAAGATCCTGGGGCCGAGGTTAGAGAAGATGGTGGCCAAGCAGCACGGGAAGGTGGTGATGGCCAAGGTGGATATTGATGACCACACAGACCTCGCCATTGAGTATGAGGTATGGATTGCCAGGGGGTTGCCACAGGGCAACCAATGTAGGGGGTGTTGGGCCCAGGGGTAGCTGGTGTAGGAGATATCTTGGGGAGGACCAGGTAGCCAGTAAGCAAGGTGTCTTGGTTCCAGAGCTTTTTTTTTTTTTTTTGAGATGGTGTCTCACTGTCACCTGGGCTAGAATGCAATGGTGTGATCTTGGCTCATTGCAGCCTCTGTCTCCCAGGTTCATGCAATTCTCCTGCCTCAACCTCCCGAGTAGCGGGGACTACAGGCGCACACCACCACACCTGGCTAATTTTTTGTATTTTTTATAGAGACAGGGTATCACCACGTTGGCCAGACTGGTCTCGAACTCCTGACCTCATGATCCGCACACCCCGGCCTCCCAAACTGCTGGAATTATAGGCATAAGCCACCGCACCCGGCCTGTTTTTCCAGCGCTTTTAGTAGCTCAGAGCACTTTGCAGAGGTGGCTGTTGATCCTCTGAGCCACCTGTCTCTTCGCCACCTTTAGGAAGTAGATAGTACGACCCGAAAACACCAGGTCATTCTCTTAGTCTCGGACATTGGTACATTCCTTTATTCATCTACCCACATGTTCAATGAGCAGTCATTTAGGAGCTCGATGTGCAAGCATTTGTGATTCTGACACAAATAAGATGAGGTCTTGTCTCCAGGCAACTCCTAGAGAACAGCAGGTAGAAAGATCATCTCCGTATAGGGTGAGGAGTGCTAAAAGAAGAGACGTATAAAGGAAGAAGGGACTGTTTGCTTGTGGGGGAGCTGGAGGGGACAGGAACGCTTCACGTTAGAGAGAACCTCTGAGTTGAGCCATGAAGGATGTCAGAGAAGGAGGAAGGGTTGAGGAAACAGCGTGCACAAAGGCATGGAGTCGCCTCACTTGGTTGGTTGGTTGGTTTGTCCATTTATTCAGCAGATATTTGAGAGTCCCTCGAGTGCCAGGTACTGTTATTTGGTGTTGAGGGTAAGGCAGTGAACAAAACTGACAAAAAGTCTCTGCCTTCAAGGAGTCTACATTCTAGTATTTTAAATCAAGGGTCAACAAACTTTATCTCTAAAGGACCAGTTGGTATTTGAGGCCTTGCAGGGCAGTGGTCTCTGCTACAACCATTCAGCCATGCTCATAGCCGAAAGCAGCCATAGACACTACACAAACAAATGGGCGTACCTGTGTTCCAATAAAACTTTATTTACAAAAGCAAGCAGTAGGCTGTATTGGGGCTGTAAACTATAGTTTGCTGACCCCTGTTTTAGATAATAAGTTCAATGGAGAAAAATACATCAGGAAAAGGGGACGGGAGTACTGAGTATGGGGCAGGGTTTCTTTTTTTTGAGACAGAGTCTTGCTGTCTTGCCCAGGCTGGAGTGCAGTGGCGCGATCTTGGCTCACTGCAAGCTCTACCTCCTGGGTTCACGCCATTCTCCTGCCTCAGCCTCCCAAGTAGCTGGGACTACAGGCGCCCGCCACCTCGCCCGGCTAGTTTTTTGTATTTTTTAGTAGAGATGGGGTTTCACCGTGTTAGCCAGGATGGTCTCGATCTCCTGACCTGGTGATCCGCCTGTCTCAGCCTCCCAAAGTGCTGGGATTACAGGCTTGAACCACCACGCCCAGCCAGGGTTTCTTTTTTTGAGACAGAGTTTTGCTCTTGTCGCCCAGGCTGGAGTGCAATGGTGCAATCTCAGCTCACTGCAACCTCTGCCTCCCGGGTTCAAGCGATTCTCCTGCCCCAGCCTCCCGAGTAGCTGGGATTACAGGCACATGCCACCACTCCCAGCTAATTTTCTGTATTTTTAGTAGAAACGAGGTTTCACCATGTTAGCCAGGCTGGTCTCAATCTCCTGACTTCAGGTTATCCGCCTGCCTTGGCCTCCCAAAGTTCTGGGATTACAGGCGTGAGCCACCACGCCCGGCGGGTTTCTTTTTTAAACGGTGTGGTAGGGAAGATCTCCCTGAGAAGGTGACCTTTGAGCAAAAACAGGAAGCATGTGGGTCTTTGGAAGAACTATTGAGGCAAAGCAAAAGCCCTGAGGTCTGATGAGCCTGGGTTGCTTACAGGCCAGCAGGGGCCAGGTGCCTGGAGGTGTCTGGAGTGGGGGCATCCTCTGGGGCTTGGAGACCACTGCCTGGAGAAAGGGGAGAGGCCCACTTTGTCTGGGTGGCCAGAGTGAAGGGCCAAGCATGGAGCTGGGGAAAGCAGACTGCAGCCAGATTGGGCGGGTCTCTGGATCGCCGTGCTGAAGGTAGCGCTGTTGCAGAGCCAAGGGCGCCCCTGGCAGCCTCTGGGCCCGGTCTGGCTCACAGACACTTTTAGTCTGGCACTCAAAGTATTTTAAAGTAATAGGAACCAGATGCTGATATTTGAAACTCCGATGTCATGTGAAAATCTGGATTTCTGATTTTCTTGAAATACCTTAACCTGGCCAGAGTGAGCCTTCACCCCTCCCTCCTTCCTCCTCCACGTAACAAGTGAATGAAAGAGAACTCTGTCTTCCTCAGAGTGTACAAGTCCAGGTTTCATCCTCACTAGACCAGCTCAAATGGAGGCGCCCATCCCTGAACCCGTGCTCTGTGGCAGGAAATGGGTGGTGGGGGGCGGGGTGAGAACAGACTGGCCACCCCTTGAGCTAGGCAGGGAGTGGGGAGTGACTACCCAAAGGAATATCAGTCTGCGATGACCAGAAGCAGGGGAGATGGCCATTGCAGGTGGCCGCTGGAGCAGGCCGGCCTTGGGAGTTAGTAACTGAGGGCTGCTTACAGGGGCTACGGGAGGAGTGAGTCACTTTTTCAGAAAGTTTGGCCACTGACTGCTCAGTGAGGGAGGCATCTGTCTGCCCATTTGGACGCTCCTCACTTTCCCCTGCCTGGCTATGCCTTGGGTGAGAGCCCGGACTGGGGCTCCTAGGGCCTCCCACAGGTCACGCGTGGGCTTCAGATGTCTCAGGCCTCCTGGCTCTGCCAGACACCACCTGAGGGCCAGCCATGTGCAGGGATTATGGTAACTACTGCAGATGCTAAGAAGCTCATAGGCCCTGCCCCAGTGTCTCGTGGGGTGGCAAGAAGGCTGAGGACCGTCCCCAGGAGGCTGTTGTGGGAGTGGGCACTGAAGGCCTGTGGTAGAGCCTCGCAAGTGAGAGGGAGATGCCTCTCGTGGAATCCTCTCAATCTCTCCCCGCCGCGCCCACCCCTCCACTGCCTGGGGACTGCGTTGTCACACAGAAAGTCCTCAAGGCTGCTGGGCCCACATCGCTCGGTCTCAGCCGTGCTGTTTTACCAAACCCTGGTCTGCCATCATTGCAGGGTTTAGGAAGCTCCAGCCAGGGTTTTTCCTGACCCATCCCCTCCCTCCCTCCCTCCTTCCCTCCCTCCCTCCCTCCCTCCCTCCCTTCCTTTCTTCCTTCCTTCCTTCCTCTTTTCTTTCTGAAAAGAGCCTGAGGAACAAGTTTCCTCTGAGAGAACTACAGTGCCCCCCATGACAGCCTTCTTTAAGGCCTAAAGTCCTTTTTCTTTTTTGAGATGGAGTCTCACTCTGTTGCCCAGACTGGAGTACAGTGGCATGATCCCGGTTCACTGCAACCTCCGCTTCTCAGTTCAAGCGATTCTCCTATCTCAGCCTCCCAAGTATCAGCCTCCCAAGTAGCTGGGATTACAGGCCCCTGCCACCACGCCCAGCTATTTTTTGTAGTTTTAATAGAGAGAGGGTTTCACCATGTTGGTCAGGCTTGTCTCGAACTCTTGACATCAGGTGATCAGCCCACCTCGGCGTCCCGAAATGCTAGGATTACGGGCGTGCGCCACGACGCCTGGCCTAATTTTTGTATTTTTAGTAGAGATGGGGTTTCACTATGTTGACCAGGCTGGTTTCAAACTCCTGACCTCAAGTGATTCACCCACCTCAGCCTCCCAGAGTGCTGGGATTACAGGCATGAGCCACCACTCCCGACCTTCAGATCCTTTTTCAAATGTTGGTTGACCTTGCTGAAAACGACTTTAGGCCAGGTGCAGTGGCTCACACCTGTAATCCCAGCACTTTAGGAGACCAAGGTGGATGGATCACCTGAGGTCAGGAGTTCAAGACTAGCCTGGCCAACATAGTGAAACCCTGTCTCTATTAAAAATACAAAAATTAGTGCTGTGTGGTGGTGAGCGCCTGTAGTGCCAGCTTCTCAGGAGGCTGAGGCAGGAGAATCACTTAAACCCAGCAGGTGGAGGTGGCGGTGAGCTGAGATCATGCCACTGCACTCCATCCTGGGTGACAGAGTGAGACTCCTCGGAAAAAAAAGAAGAAAAACTGCTTTAAATAAATTATATTCAGGGAATTATGTGCTTTTCCCCGAGCTCTCATGACACCCTCCTCCCGCACACACCCTCAGGTAAGTCTCCTTCCTCACACAAATTTCTCCCCTTGAACCACTTTATGCTCTAACTGCCCACCCTAGGACTTCACTGTCTGCCAAGGGAGAGCGAAGGGAAAGTCCCTCAGGGCCTTGGGGTTCAATGCCCCAGCCCCTCTTCCTCACACTCGGCACTGCCCTGGCTTAGCAGGATGCAAGAGTCCCCACTCTTCTGCCTCTGCCTGCCTCTCTCCTAACCATCCCAACCTTGCCAGCTCGTGGGGAAGGCAGGGAGAGAATGGGCCAGGAGTGGACCCTCGGCCTTTGTGCTTTCTTCTTGGGCTTCTGCTTCTCACCTCACACTTAGAGGTGTTATCCTTTTATTTTCTCATCTTCTAGAAGATGTGAGTGCCTTTTTTTTTTTTTTTTTTTTTTTTTTGAGGTGGAGTTTTGCTTTTGTTGCCCAGGCTGGAGTGCAATGGCACAATCTAAGCTCACCACAACCTCCACCTCCCGGGTTCAAGCGATTCTCCTGCCTCAGCCTCCCGAGTAGCTGGGATTACAGGCACACGCCACCACGCCTGGCTAATTTTGTATTTTTCGGTAGATATGGGGTTTCTCCATGTTGGTCAGGCTGGTCTTGAACTCCTG